TTTTGTTTATTTATTTAAATTAAGACTCGAGGGAAAACTTTTGATCATTTTTTGTTTTGTTTATTGTGAAATTTTGCGTTACGTAATTTATCGACGATCCCTTATTGAAATATTTATAAACGTAAAAATAATTTATAAACTTGTGTCAAAACATGAAGATGACCTTAAAAAAAGAGGGTTTAAATATATTATTAAGATAATACACAATTTTAATACAATAATGCAGAAAAGCATAAAAGCATATTGATTATGGATGTCAAACAAACTTCATCTTCAATCTAGTTAAAGAAAAGCCATTGAACAGTATTGCCAAAATGACTTTTTAATCCACCTATTTCAAATGATGTTGAATATTGGCTAAAGTTTAAAAAAGAAAACATACTGGTCAAAATTTCATATTCGTTAAGCAAATCATAAATTCAAAATACATGTTAACGTCAACGAGTGACATCTTTGGTTTTAAAGAACACCTAAAAAATACGTCTAGAGATACTTTTCTTAAATTTATAAATTCTGATTCTAGTAATTCTGAAACAAATTTTCCTAACATAACAGATTTGTAAATAAATTGTTTCACTTAATTAGTTTTTAATCAGCGACTATTTCTTCACGTGTATTGTTTGTGAAACTATTTGTGACATGTGTTGATATTTTATGCCTATTTTCTGATTTTTTTATGCATAATGGTGCATTGCCGAAATCCAAAACAAACTTTTTCTGTTTAGCATTTACATGTCTGATCATTATTGAACCTGAATTATATGCTCACACTTTTTAGATTAAATGTTTTCCATAATGTGACTTTAATGAAATCACCAGTGTTGTTAACACTTGAGATGTTAGAAGTTTTTTAGATTAAATATTTTCCATAATGTGACTTTAATGAAATCACCAGTGTTGTTAACACTTGAGATGTTAGAAGTTTTTTAGATTAAATGTTTTCCATAATGTGACTTTAATGAAATCACCAGTGTTGTTAACACTTGAGATGTTAGAAGTTTTTCAGATTAAATGTTTTCCATAATGTGACTTTAATGAAATCACCAGTGTTGTTAACACTTGAGATGTTAGAAGTTTTTTAGATTAAATGTTTTCCATAATGTGACTTTAATGAAATCACCAGTGTTGTTAACACTTGAGATGTTAGAAGTTTTTTAGATTAAATGTTTTCCATAATGTGACTTTAATGAAATCATCAGTGTTGTTAACACTTGAGATGTTAGAAGTTTTTTAGATTAAATGTTTTCCATAATGTGACTTTAATGAAATCACCAGTTTTGTTAACACTTGAGATGTTAGAAGTTTTTTAGATTATATGTTTTCCATAATGTGACTTTAATGAAATCACCAGTGTTGTTAACACTTGAGATGTTAGAAGTTTTTTAGATTAAATGTTTTCCATAATGTGACTTTAATGAAATCATCAGTGTTGTTAACACTTGAGATGTTAGAAGTTTTTTAGATTAAATGTTTTCCATAATGTGACTTTAATGAAATCGCCAGTGTTGTTAACACTTGAGATGTTAGAAGTTTTTTAGATTAAATGTTTTCCATAATGTGACTTTAATGAAATCACCAGTGTTGTTAACACTTGAGATGTTAGAAGTTTTTTAGATTAAATGTTTTCCATAATGTGACTTTAATGAAATCACCAGTGTTGTTAACACTTGAGATGTTAGAAGTTTTTTAGATTAAATGTTTTCCATAATGTGACTTTAATGAAATCATCAGTGTTGTTAACACTTGAGATGTTAGAAGTTTTTTAGATTAAATGTTTTCCATAATGTGACTTTAATGAAATCATCAGTGTTGTTAACACTTGAGATGTTAGAAGTTTTTTAGATTAAATGTTTTCCATAATGTGACTTTAATGAAATCGCCAGTGTTGTTAACACTTGAGATGTTAGAAGTTTTTTAGATTAAATGTTTTCCATAATGTGACTTTAATGAAATCACCAGTGTTGTTAACACTTGAGATGTTAGAAGTTTTTTAGATTAAATGTTTTCCATAATGTGACTTTAATGAAATCACCAGTGTTGTTAACACTTGAGATGTTAGAAGTTTTTTAGATTAAATGTTTTCCATAATGTGACTTTAATGAAATCATCAGTGTTGTTAACACTTGAGATGTTAGAAGTTTTTTAGATTAAATGTTTTCCATAATGTGACTTTAATGAAATCACCAGTGTTGTTAACACTTGAGATGTTAGAAGTTTTTTAGATTAAATGTTTTCCATAATGTGACTTTAATGAAATCATCAGTGTTGTTAACACTTGAGATGTTAGAAGTTTTTTAGATTAAATGTTTTCCATAATGTGACTTTAATGAAATCACCAGTGTTGTTAACACTTGAGATGTTAGAAGTTTTTTAGATTAAATGTTTTCCATAATGTGACTTTAATGAAATCACCAGTGTTGTTAACACTTGAGATGTTAGAAGTTTTTTAGATTAAATGTTTTCCATAATGTGACTTTAATGAAATCATCAGTGTTGTTAACACTTGAGATGTTAGAAGTTTTTTAGATTAAATGTTTTCCATAATGTGACTTTAATGAAATCACCAGTGTTGTTAACACTTGAGATGTTAGAAGTTTTTTAGATTAAATGTTTTCCATAATGTGACTTTAATGAAATCACCAGTGTTGTTAACACTTGAGATGTTAGAAGTTTTTTAGATTAAATGTTTTCCATAATGTGACTTTAATGAAATCATCAGTGTTGTTAACACTTGAGATGTTAGAAGTTTTTTAGATTAAATGTTTTTCATAATGTGACTTTAATGAAATCATCAGTGTTGTTAACACTTGAGATGTTAGAAGTTTTTTAGATTAAATGTTTTCCATAATGTGACTTTAATGAAATCATCAGTGTTGTTAACACTTGAGATGTTAGAAGTTTTTTAGATTAAATGTTTTCCATAATGTGACTTTAATGAAATCACCAGTGTTGTTAACACTTGAGATGTTAGAAGTTTTTTAGATTAAATGTTTTCCATAATGTGACTTTAATGAAATCACCAGTGTTGTTAACACTTGAGATGTTAGAAGTTTTTTAGATTAAATGTTTTCCATAATGTGACTTTAATGAAATCACCAGTGTTGTTAACACTTGAGATGTTAGAAGTTTTTTAGATTAAATGTTTTCCATAATGTGACTTTAATGAAATCACCAGTGTTGTTAACACTTGAGATGTTAGAAGTTTTTTAGATTAAATGTTTTCCATAATGTGACTTTAATGAAATCACCAGTGTTGTTAACACTTGAGATGTTAGAAGTTTTTTAGATTAAATGTTTTCCATAATGTGACTTTAATGAAATCATCAGTGTTGTTAACACTTGAGATGTTAGAAGTTTTTTAGATTAAATTTTTTCCATATTGTGACTTTAATGAAATCATCAGTGTTGTTAACACTTGAGAAGTTAGAAGTTTTTTAGATTAAATGTTTTCCATAATGTGACTTTAATGAAATCACCAGTGTTGTTAACACTTGAGATGTTAGAAGGTTTTTAGATTAAATGTTTTCCATAATGTTTAACAGAATGTCTGCTAGATCAGAGAAATTGGGTTAAGTTTATAAAAAATTAGTAAGAAAAGATAAAAGAAAAGATAATAACTCTTAGTCAATCTTACTTTTAGTCAAACTAGATAAAGTTGTTTATTGTACACGTAACGTTAAATTTTATATGACAGATAGTTTTATGAACTTCTTAATACTTTATACGTATGTTGTATTGTTCTTTATATTTTTTGCAATTAAAGAGCATTTTTCTAAAAGAATTAAAGTCTAATTTTACTAAAGTTGAGTTTGGGTAACTTAAATATTATTTTATAACTTATTTTCCCAGATTTAATTAAAGTTACCCAAACTCAACTTAAGTAAAATTAGACTTGAATTATTTTAAAAAAATTCCCTTTAATTGCAAAAAATATAAAAAACAATACAACATACGTTTAAAGTATTGAGAAGTTCAAAAAATTTTATATAAAACTATCTGTTATATAAAATTGAACGTTAAGTTATCCAAACTCAACTTAAGTTGAGTTTGGGTAACTTAAATTTTATCTAGGAAAACAAGCGGATTAGGAAAAAATTAGGGAAATCCACCTTTGAATATTGGTAGACACCCTGTTCCATATGATATCATCCATACACAAAATCTTTGTCACTTTTACATTTCAGATTTGTTTATTTTTGCAGTCATTAAATAAATAATAACTACAAATATTTTAGCATAAAATATACATGTGCTGGTGAGATATATAGATCAAAGTAAGCCCCCAAAAATAATGCTGTTTTTAAGTTTTTAAAAAAATACCATTTCTATTTGGCAGAATTTTTTTTTTTTAATGGTCTATATGGATGCATGAATCTGACTTTAATACCAAGTTCACTTGCATCTTCTACAATCTCTATCCACTAAATTCATTATAAAACCATGCAGTATAGTCCAATTTTTTTAATGTTAAGTGAAATCACTTCCTTATTTTTGTTTTTTGGAATGATTTCATGTATTCACTTTTTATTTTCTATAACTTATTGTATTTGAACTAATAGGAATAAAATGATATCATTGTTGTTTTGAAACTGTTCTTGTCAATTCCCTTAAAAGTAACTTAAAACAAATGCCTGTTATTTTGATTTTACTTTTTTGACAAACTACTATTGTAACAGTCGCAAAAATACCATCATAGAAAGATTTGCCATAGCTAATAGCAAAAAATACTCATTCAGCATTTAAATCAAAGTCTATGCTGTGATAAGATAAATTGAAAGATAAGTTTTGAAAGTTTTAAAGTTTCATTGCACAGCCATCAGAAAAATACCTTCCACAATTGTTTTATTAAATTTTTAATGTCTTTAATTAAATATTTTATGCTTTGTTTCATTAAATATTTTACTGTAATAAAAAATATACATGTATATATCTTTATTACATAAAATACATTTGGAAAATATTGTTGTTGCTATGTTGTTGTATACTCAATTAAATTTTTTTAAGTTAGATAAGGTAGAGCATTGTATAATCTTAGAAACATTTACTATACAAAAGCAAACATTTAGGAAGAGTCAGAAATTGTGATCCTGGATATTATCCCATAGATGTTCAGCAAGCTTTGGAAAGAACTATAGAGTTTTATGAGTAAATATATTTATTTTTACAACTTTGTTTATTGAATCCTTTTTTAAATTGTCTACCATGTTTATTATTTATCTCAAAATTTAGTTTTGAAACTTTGAAAACAGAATGATCCATAACAATCACTAAATTCAACTCTTGTATGAATTCATCATCAAATTAGATCTTCCTCACATTATATCATTGATATAATAAACCAATTTTGTCCTCATCATCATCATCATCATCATCATCATCATCATCATCATCATCATCATCATCATCATCATCATCATCATCATCATCATCATCATCATCATCTTTATCATCATCATCTTTATCATCATCATCATTATCATCATCATCATCATCATGTCATTATCATCATCATCATTATCATCATCATCATCATCATCATCATCATCATGTTATCATAATCATCATCATCATCATCATCATTATATTCTTAATAAATTTCATGAGGAGGGAAATCATATTTAGTGTTTGGTTTTTCATAACTATCTGATATATTTATTTTTTATATTTTCACGATTTTTATTGCTGTCTGTTATTTTTATTGTATGTATATTTTTTTAATGATCATCTGGTTGTAAGTTTTAAAACTAGTAGTTTATATTCTAGAGTCTGCTAATGGCTAGAGAGTTTAATGACTAGACTGCATTTAGTAACCTTGGTAATGCTCATGTTTTTATTTGAGAATTTGAAATAGCTGTACAATATTACTAGTAAGAAAATTTCAAGCATAATTTTTTTTCAGAGGTCAGTATAAATTTTTTTTTTATATTTTAATTGTTTTTTACTTGTATTTGTCTTATAATATATACTTTATTTGATCATCTTTATCAAAAGAAAGGCTGTAAACCCTTTTCATTTGCAAACTTTACCATTTTTTTAAGCAAAATTCTTGAAAAATTAGATTATTACTTTTTACATTGAAAAAATATAATTTATCAATAATTATTTTGTCTTTGTCTAAACAAAAAAGAAGCATTACAGTTTGCAAATTATTAAAAAAAAAATACTTCATATAAAATAAATTAAAAATATTAACTCATGTCACTGTCATAAAACAATATGATTAAATTTACTTTACATACATAGAAAATAGGTTAAACAGTTTCAAAACATTATAAAACTTTCCACCGTGAAGGTAGATGTAGATCAATACCAAATAAAAGATATCTATAGACAACAACCATATAAAAGAAGACCTTAAGTTTTTTTTAATTGCTTTTGTAGTTTAAAAGTATAACAAAAAGATTTAAGTTATTGCAAAGAAGTGAAATTAAAAAGGACTACAATCAATTAAAAGAAGAGAATCTATACATATACAAATTTAACTTCAGGGTATAAATTATATAAACTTTTTATTTTTTAGCTTCTAGCTTACGAGCTTTTTTTTTTTTTTTTTTTTATCCAGTTTCCAGCTTTTAGGCTTTTTTTTTAGCTTCCATTTTTTATGTTTTTTTTTTTCAATTTTCCTACTTATAGGCATTTTTTCTTATTTTAGCTTTCAGCTTTCAGGTTTTTTTCATCTACCTTTCAAGATTTTGTTTTCCAGCTTCATTTTTCAGGTCGTTTTTTTTTCTAGTCCTTAGCTCTCAGGTTTTTTTTTTTTTTTCAGCAGGTTTAGGATTTTTTTTTCCTATTTTATTTTACCTTCTAGCTTTCAAGAATGTTTTTTTTTTTTCAAGATTCCAGCTCTCAGGATTGTTTATTTATTCTAGCCTCCAGCAACTAAATCTGAAGTGGTAAGCAAATTTATTTATACTTAAAAAAGTAAAGTAATTTTATATGGAATAACCCATAAACCCTTAGTTCACTTTGTAATGTAATTATATAAGTAGTACGTAGTATGAAAACCTAAATTTAAAACTTACAAAAAATATAAGTATACAAAAAATATTAATAAACAAAAAATACAAATGAATAAAAAATATAAATGAATTGGTAATAACAAAACTTTCTTCAACAAGGACAACCCTAATGTACTTTGCACTATATACATGACTAGATAACATATCACATAGTTCTATATTAGTTATATAAGTAGTAAGAGTTATCCCTGATTTACTTTGTAAATATTTAGGCATTATGTATGTTTGCCCTTAGAATAAAAATTTGTTAAAGTTTTTTTTTTATATTAAGCTTTTTTTGCACTTTTTTTTTTTTGCACTTTTTTAAAAACATATTCCATCTGTCTATTTAGAATTTTTTTTAGCCATTTTTTTTAAGAATGTTTTAAATGTTTGTGTGATTCTCAAACTGTTTGTCAATTAAACTAAAATTTCTATTTTTTTAGATTAAATGTTTTTTTCCTTTCATTGTTTGTAAAAACAGTTCCATAACCAACTAAGAAAAATCTAAAATAATGATACTTTTTTTTTGTGTGGAATAAGTGCCTCCTTAATGGAACTATATTTCTTAGTTCTATAAATAATTTGACATCTTTTTTAGTTTGTTCGGTTATTTTAATTGAATTAATGCAACAGCATTTGATTAAGAACTTTTTTTTATTGATTAAAATTTTAAAGGTATTAAGCAGGTAAGAAAGTTTTTAGGTGGTTTTAAGTTTTTTGGTTTTCACTTGTGGAGCTTTCTAATTATAATCATTTTTTTTTCAGTTTTATTTTACAAACTTTAAATAATTTTAAGTAAAAACTGTTTTTAATGTTCAAAAAACTAATTTTTTCTTTTCCAGTATCTAAAGAAAACAAAAGAATTACATTTGTATTACCCAGTCTCCTAACTAATAAAGCTAACATTATAAAACATATATCAATAAAAAATAAAGTATATCATATAACTATATCAAATGCATTTGTGAATGTTATACCATACTTGAATGATTTATGCTTTTGACACAGTAAACCATGAAATACTTTAGAAAATTTTATCTTAAAATAAATACTTTGATAAAAGTTGAGGAATTTTTTTATGTTAATTTTTCACCAAAAAGTAGCAAAATGTAATAATAAACAATATCGATAAAGGGATAATGTGAAAGGAATTGGTCAATTAGATCAGAAAATACATCTTTAAAGCGCGTGTTTAAGAAGAAGGAGAACAATAAAGAAAAAAACAAAAATATCAACAATTAACACTTTAAATAAAAAAAAAAAACTGGTTTTAAATTAGTCTTTAAATCTTCTGAAAGGCAATTTCAACTCTGTCGATGAATATTACTTTTTTGTTCTTTATTGTTTCATCAAAGTTAGTAAACACCTTTATCTTTTATCAAATTTGAAACAGCTGCTTTTAAATTACTCTCAAAGTCTTATAAACTAAGAAGGATAATAATATACCTGGTCTGGTAAAAGGTTCTGTTTAATTTTGCAAAAGGTTAGATTCAACAGATAAAAACTTAATCTGAAAGCAGCAAATAGTTGTAAAGCGTAGATTTTAATAATATGGTGTTAATGTGAACTTTTATTTTGAATATTTTTATGTTAAGTTGTTACAGAAATGTATCAATCATAGTTATGATTAAATGATAAAGAGCGCTCAGATGATACACAGCGGCCTTCTTTGTCAAAATTCATGTTTTAGTATTAAAGAGTTGAGAGGAGATTTTAACCACAAAAAAGTTGACTCCTCAACTGTAATGGGTATCTCTCCCTGGGGGAGGTAAATAACAAAATATATGTATATATATATATATATATATATATATATATATATATATATATATATATATTTATATATAAATGTATATAAATATATATATATATATATATATATATATATATGTATATATATATATATATATATATATATATATATATATATATATATATATATATATATATATATATATAAATATATATATATATAAATATATATATATGTATATATATATATATATATATATATATATATATATATATATATATATATATATATATATATATATATATATATATATATATGTATTATATATATATATATATATATATATATATATATATATATATATATATATATATAAATAAATGAAAAAATCTTGAAACCTTACTACCAGAATCCATCAGAACTACTAAAATGAGTTTTATACCTGTACCCTCTTTAGGAGATAATAAAAAAACTTGTGTAACAAATACTGACGAGTTAGAAAGAAATATTCTGCTTCTCAAGTCTCCTTACTCCTTTGTCTGGCAGGCGTTTTACAGGTTGAAAATTTAAAACCTGAAAGAGAGATTATTATAATTGTGATCCTTATAATATATATTTTTTATTAAATATTTTTTACACACACATACTTAAACATCTAGTTAAATTAACATTTATTATTATAATTAAATGAAAATATTTAAATATTTATCATTTATCATATTATTATGTAGTTTTTAAGCAGTCTAAATTATAAATTAACATTAAACTACAAACTTAAATGACGATTCTACTAGTACAAAAAATAATTTATATATCGAAAAAATGTTATGTAGTATTAATTAAAGCGCAATATATAATTCTTATGCTTTGTTTGACAAAAAAAATAAGTTAAGGGTTTCTTTCCTTCTTCTTTTTATAGATGTCAAAAAAGACACTTGGTTGCTCATTTTGCACAGGTATTTGTTTTAAAATTTTCCAGTCTCAATGATTCCTGATTGCAAAACTTTTCCTGAGTTTGACGCTTTTTTGAGACCGTACAAGCTGCTACATAGCTTCCAATAATTGTCAGCATTGTGCATTTGGTCAGTAAACAAATGGTCTGCCTATCTGAAGAAATCAATCTACAAATGTTAAGTTGTAAGTCTTTTCTCTCTGGCAGAAGAATTTACTTATTTTTTGTAACTTAACTTTATGAAGGACTCCAGATTCTTTAAAAGAACAAAATACTAAAGTTAAATGAAATAGAAATTTCTTGTCATCACACTATCTTGCTGTTTCAGTTATCATTTTTGAAATTCTTCCTGAGCGGTTTATAGTTCTTTAAAAATTACAGTAAAAATGAATTTTAGATATTGAGCAAGATTTTGTTTTCTCCAAGTTCTTCATCCATTACAATGACAATGATTTGGTCAAGAAAATAATGTTGACAGCTAATGAATTGTGGTTTTTCCAGTTTCTTTTAGGTAAAATGTCTTTACAACTGATTGACAATCCTATTATTTTTTCTAGTGTTTACATTCATAGTGTTTGTTACAATAATCTTTATACTCTTCCGTAAATTGTATTTGTAAATAATAGCTGTTATACCTTTAACAACAGTATCTGCAGTTTTTCTGGGTAGATCTAGTGCTTTGACTTTTATTTTTTGTTTATTTTTCAAGACACTTGATATTCTCTGTTGGCAAATTCTGTTTTGCTGGTTAATAACTATGAAGATGTTACTAATTTGTTTGCAGTTTTGGTTTTTCTATTGTTCTTGCTGGTACTTGGGGACTGTTCTTCTGAATCTTCATACTCTCGACATTCTCATATTTCAGAGTTGAATTCAGAAGTAGATGTTGTTGCTGTTACTGTTGTTAAAGTGGGCTTTTAAGAAAATTTTTCTGCTGTTAGATGGATTGATAGTTTTTGAACTAGCAGCCTTTCCAGTTATATACCTTTGTCCTTTCTTGTATCTTTTGTTCTCACTGCGGAGCCATTTGCCATCTTTTTTTGTGATGTCACAAACATTATTCAATTAATCGTATTTATTTTGTTTTACACATTCATTGCATGTCTTCAACACTTGATCCAGTTTTCCCTGTACAACTTGAATTGATAAATATGGAGAATTCAATTTCTTTTGTCATTAACTTGTTACTTCTTTCTTAATTTGTTTTATTGGTTCTTGTCTCCCTTTAATTAAATCTCCCAGAAACAGATTGTGACTAACACTTTGAATTTTTAGTAGTATTTTGCTGTTATCTTTCTACGATTGTTCTTCTAATGGAAAAATCTTCTTTCCTATGTGACATAAAATTGTACAAGGTTCTTCATCCAGATTGTCTTGATTTTTTAAAGTATAAAGTATAGATGTGTGGTATACCTATAAAGTATATATTGTGGTTGAAGGTGTTAAAAAAATGTTAAGTAATCACGAATGGAAGAAACAATTGTTATCTTTATAGAGTTTGTTTTAATATAATAATATAATAATATATTAAAAACAAACTAATTAAGTTTGTTTCCGATGAAATGAATTTAATCAGAAATGATTATGTGTTGATTATATTCCAAACATGCATTTGTGGCGCTTAACATTTGCTATAAAAGCATGATAAAATATGATCAATTTTTTGTTGTGAAATTCAATAAAAAACTCACTTAAGTAAGAAAGTTCAGTTTTAGAACTATGGTATTGGTCAGTTCTATATAGATGCATATCTGCATATGAAAACAGCAAACTGCTATAAATTAGTTCTTGAAAACAAACCGTTGAGAAAAAAACTCTTCTGTTTTAATTTCTTTAAATTGTTTATTGATTATTAATCAATGTTTAAGCATCACAGTATATAGTTTATAATATATAAAATATAGTTTGAACTCATCCTTATTTAAATAATATTTTCTTTTAATAGATAGTATCTAGTTGAAATGTAGATATAGATTTGTATGTTATGCATATGTGGTTATCATTTGTGATTGAGGTATATATATATATATATATATATATATATATATATATATATATATATATATATATATATATATATATATATATATATATATATATATATATACATTTTCATTTTAGGATTCATATTATATATGAGAGATTCTTTTAAACTAGCGTCTTTTGACATGTTTTGTTGGTGTATATTTTTTCGTTGTTATTATGTTATGGTCTCATAGTTACATTAATTCGCAATTGTCTGTAGAGAAAACTTTAGTTTTTTGTAATCTCAGAGACTGTAGAGAAAACTTTATTTTTAAACTATTTTTTGCATCGTACATCATTTTTATATCATTGTTATATCATCCAAAACAAATTTTTAACCACTCATTCGGCTTTTATATGCCAAGGTTTTTAAATAATTTTCTATTTTGCAAGTGCTGGGTTTTGATGGAACTTATGTAAACACTGGAAGCAAGGGTAATGTTATAAGATTGCTTGACAAATTTTAAACTGACTCTACATTAGGTTATTTGTTTTCTACATGCAAATGAGCTTCCATTACCATTTGTTTGAGGAGTTAGATATTATCATGGGTCTTTTGGAAAGTATCTTCAGACTTATGAGGTCTTAAATGTTGTTGATTTTTATGTTATAAACCATAATCTAAAAACACCAGAGCAAGCAAAGTGGCACATGTTTTACCAATATGGAGAAGTGCAGCCCTGAAAAACTGGTTTGTTCTTGGTGGGTCTTCATTGCCAACTGGATCCTTAGTTTATATGTTTCTACGAGCAATCCCACATAAATCCCACATAAACAAGATATCCTCTTTCTTTCATGGTCAAATCACAGTACCAGTATTTGGTAATAGACAAAGTTTTCTAACAAATGCATTTTTTGAGAGGGCAGACAGACAGAGAGCTAGACAAGATAAAAGTAAAGAAGTAAACCAATTGTGGGGTAGTTCAAAGCTTCTAGTCTAAATTTAATTGCAAATAATACATAGGAGTAAATTAATTGGAGTAATTCGCAGAAGGCCATGATGATCATAATTACTGATGAGCAAAAGAACAGCCGTGGCACAGTGGTTAGAGTTCTAACTCAGAACCCAGAGGTCCGATGTTTGATTCCAGCTCTAGCCCAATAAGTGTAAGGTAAGGAAGGAGGCGTGAACTTCTAGTTAAATGCTCTTCTGTGGTGCTCTGTGATAAGACCGTAAGGACTTTTCAGGAGTACCTAAACAACCTAAAAAAAATATTGAGAGAAGTAAAATAGCATTGTGGATTTTTTGGAAAAGTTACTGTCACATGCGAGTTGTAAAGCATTGTGTAAAGATGGTTACAGCAGTTTCTGCTTTGGTTTATGGCAAGATGAAAAGAAATAGTTTAATATGTGTCCATCTGCAATATAAGAAGATTATGCCAATAGTTATTTATATTATTACAGATTAACAATATTAACACAAAGACACATTACTCAATATGGAAAACATACAAGGTATTCCAATAAAATGAATAAGTTGCAATGATATAAAAATAATGAAATAAATGTTTGTTGCAATAATCATTTATTTCATTATTTTTTGCTTTCTTATTTTTTTGTAAAAACCTCATAAATCAAAAATTTACATACCGCATTTTGAAAATTTATATATTGAGAGTAAATATGAATATTGATAGTAACTTAACATTAAGTTGTTTTATACTTTTCTTTCTTTATTTTTTAAAATTTTATCTAAAGACCTAGTGCCTGTTTCATGTACAAGTTGTTTGAAATAATTAATAATAAGTAACATTATATAGTTATATAGTTATACAGTTTTTCAGGATCTGCTGCATATGTTATTGAAACACTATTTGACATTGAAGTATGTAAGAATCAGCTAATCGAGTGGATGATTTCAGATAATGCAGATGTTATCAGCATATTTCTTGTAAATGTGAATGGATTATTAAGATGTAACAATGGGGAAACCTTACTTAATGTTTCAACAGTTATAAACTCATTGGTAAGTACGTTTTATAATTAATATTTTTATTGACATTGTTCCATATTAATTCTAATAATCTTTTATCTCCTATATTAATTGTGATAATCTTTTATCTTCCATTATTTCGATGATAACGTTTCCCAAAATTCTAGGGTTTTACAGTTACAGGTACCCAGACTCGAATTCGGCAAGTCTGTTACTAAATACCCGGAGCTGATACCCGGTCTAAGACTCGGGGAGTCTTGTGATTTGAATTCCTGGCCTTGTTTTGAACGCAGCAGTCTGTTTTGTGGATCCCCAACTTTTCTAGGCAGCTGTACCTGATGCCTAATAGCATGCTTAGATAGGGCTGTATTTTTATTATTATTAGGGAGGCCCATGGTCAAAAAATTTAATAAAATTAATCGTTGGGTCAAAATTGTCAATTAAAAAATTGTTGCGTAAACCTAATCCGGAAAGAGACATTATATAATCAAAATAAAAATTATATTATTCACTAATGTATTTTAAAATAATTTTCATTGTTTTTTCAATCATCATTGAAAAAGCTCTTCAAGGTATTGGAAGGTTGTACTTGATAGAAAATATTAATATTGAACATGAGTTGACAATATGCTTAAGCCTTTTAAACTAACTGTTAAAGCTCTTAGCAGAAACGATGCTAATCTTGCAACATTCCAATTAGCAATTGATTTTATGTTAAGAAAAACTCAAATAAATTGCCATTAAAACCAAGATTTAGAAGAAAATTAGATTCTCTTGTAAATGGTACTATGCAAAAGAAAATACAAAAATTTATAGATTTATTGAAGAGATTATTTGATAGAAATGAAGAACAACAAAATACACATTATGAACAAGGACATTCAACTGAAAATAATGAAAATACTACAGGAAACACATTAACATCAACACTAGAGGAAAAACTAAATAAATTATTTTATATTAAACACTTATATATTATTATATATTATTTTAAAGTACTGTCAAGTCTATTTGGTAGTTTAACATAAGTAAAATTATATATTAATATATTTAAGTTAGGCTTTGAAACCGGCTAAAAGTTGTTTTATTTACTGAAAAACTTACTAAATTTTTTTTTTCACAAAAAATCCAATCATTCTATTGTTAAAGTTGCGAAAAGACGTATTAGACCCGGGCCCGAACATAAAAAATATTTATAGGCTTGACTTGGGCTCGTTGGGTCTAAAAATGCCGGGTTTTTCGCAAACCCTACAAAACTTTCCCATTAAATGAAGGATGATAAGTTATTTTAATCATCCCTTTGAAACTTTTTAAAGTTGCTGCATAATGTTCAACAAAACAGATAGCTGATATAAAAGATAACTGATATTAAATGATATATCCATTATGGTGCATTGTCTGGTACTATAATTTATAAGAAACCCAAATTTCAAACTGCAGACTCATACTCTTATGTAAATTTAAATTTAAATTTGAGTTTTTTTAAAAAAAGCTATTTTTTCATTTAACAAATCTTTTCAAATCTTTATATTTATGTCAAATTATAAATATGTTATGAAATATAAAAATTATATATATGTAAAATATTGCATATTTTATATGCGTTACTAAATATATATACATATATATATTTATATATATATATATATATATATATATATATATATATATATATATATATATATATATATGTATATATATATATATATATATATATATATATATATATATATATATATATATATATATATATATATATAAATTTATATATATATCATCATCATTATCATCATCATCATCATATATTCATCATGAAAAATAATTTCATGGATATTTGCAAATAGTAATTCTACTAATCTTAAAACACCAAAAATACAGATCTTTATATATATAATTAGCAATAATTATAAGATAACAATAAAAATAATATTTATTGCAATTAATATAAGAACCATAATAATAATTAAAAAAAAAAACAACAACAACAATAACAATTATAATAGTTATTATAATAACAATAATATTCAAATTTCTAAGTCACATGTTATTCATAAACACAATAGTTAAATATAAATATGAGTTAGTTACAAACAGTTGACTGAAAAAACGTAACAACTAACAAGGACATAAAACAGTTATTTAAATTGAAAATAATAAAATAGGAATAATAATAGTAAAGTTAAAAGTATTAATAATTGTAGTTACGATAAATATTTAAAATTACTAGTAATAATGCTATAACAAAAATCATAACAAAAATATGATAAAAATTTAAGAAAAAATAAAGAAAAACAAAAAAGCATTAAAAAAATAAGAAAGTTCAATATTGTTACTTGCATACACAAACATAAATAAAAAGATATATACTAATACTTACCCACATACATTGATACTCACATATTTGCACATAAATACACACACGCGCGTACATACACTCACATACATATGCATACATACACATATAGATACAAATACATATATAGCTTTAAAATATATACATTTCACATACAGCTTTAAAATTATACATTTAAAAAAAAATGTCCAACCAACATAAAACTAAAAAAAAAATGCATACCGATGCAAACAACGCACTAAAACATTTAACAATATGAACTATTTTACTACATTATCCAATATACACAAGAATACAAAAACAAAAAACAACAGCAAAAAAAGACAAACGTCCCTCAAAATAAATATAAAATTAAATTTTTTTTTTCCGTATCTTCAAAAACGGTGCAATTTCTATATTTTATTTTAATTCTTTTTAATTACTTTCCATTTTTGAATGTTTTTTTCTTTTAGCTTTGTTTTTTTGTCTTTAATTTTTCTTTTCTTGTTTCTTTTTTCGTTTTTTTTCTTTTGTTAATTTGTTTGATTGGTTTTTGATTTTTTGTTTGTTTTTTTGCTTTTTCATTTTTTTCTTTTTCTTTTTTTTTTCTTTCTTTTTATTTTTTTATTTTATTTATTTTTTTTATTTTATTCTTTATCTTTTTTTCTTGTTTTTTTTTTTTTTTTTAATTTATTTATAAAATCTTTATCAAAAAGCGTCCAGAAAGTCTCTGCACTGTTATATCCATACAATAAGGATGTATTCCCCATATATCCCTAAGGGGATGAGTTTTTCAACAAAAAAATTATTCCACCTTTTATAGATTTATAATTTTTGTTAAATTATAAATCTATAAACAAATTTTGTAGAATAAAATTTTCACATAGATTTATATTTTAACCAAAAATTTATTTGTTGTAAAAAAATGTATTTTATATTTACAAACTTTTTGCTAAATTGGTTCTATGGACTTAAGTTTTATGGACTTAAGTTTTAAATGCCTGTAGAAAAAAAGAGTTTTTGCTTCATTCTTTAATTTCATAGTATGTAGATTGTTTGTATTATCAATTCTGTTTTTTTTTTATCAGATTGAAATCTAGTTTAGGATTCTTAATTGTTTGGATTTTCAATTACTCAGTTGTTTAGAATCCTCAGTTGTTCAGGATTCTCAATTGTTCAGGATTCTCAATTGTTCAGGATTCTCAATTGTTCAGGATTCTCAGTTGTTCAGGCTTCTCAATTGTTCAGGATTCTCAGTTGTTCAGGATTCTCAATTGTTCAGCATTTTCAATTGTTCAGGATTCTCAGTTGTTCAGAATCCTCAGTTGTTTAGGATTCTCACTTGTTCAGGATTCTCAGTTGTTTAGGATTCTCAATTGTTCTAGATTTTCAATTGATCAGGATTCTTAATTGCTTTAAGATATAATTTTAAAAGTATATTTATCTGCTTTTATTAAAGAATAAAAAAATAGTTTCAAAATCTTTTTTACATTGCAGTAAGAAAAGTTTTTTAACAACTAAAGAACATTAACATAAAAATGGTTGCTTCAATGTTTAGTTGCTTCTCTAGGTGGTTTTGAGTTTTTCAAAAACTAGGATATTATTTCACAATAAAATAGCTGACCTTAAATTTATCCTTTTTTTTTCATCCTTATTTTTTCTTATGCTTTCCTCCACTTTCTGAGTGATTTTTCTTTTTTTTCTGTTCTGTAGTCTTTTTAAGTGTTTCTTCTTTTTTTTATTCACCCTGAACTCTCTCTAAGCGTTTTTTCTTTTCTCTGTAGGTGAAGTGATTTAGTATAATCAGAGAAAATTGTTAAAAAAAAAAATCTTTATGTCAAAAATTTTATTCTGATTTATAAATAAAAAATAAATTTGATATAATATTTTCTTACACAGATAATATGTATTTTGTTAAGATGTGAAAGAATGCTAACTTTTTAATATAAAAATTTATTTATATATTTATACTTACAATTTTGCAAAATCTAAAAACCAAATGTATTATTTTATTTTTATTTCACAAAAATTTTTTGGCATTTAATAAAATATTATAGAAATAATTGGTTCGCTGGCTGTGTTAAAAAAATAAAACTTCAATATCTTACAAAAAAGTATGTTAACTTCAAATTTTTCTAAAATTGAAGTTTATATAATTTAAAGAAAGAAAGAAAATATTCATCAACTTTCACTTACAGAGTAAAAACTGTTTAAATAAAGTTTCATTTTCTTTTGAGATGTGGTACTGACGCCTAGAAGATGTTGAAGGTATTTTAACAAGAGAAACGACATTCAATTTTGGTGCCCAACAACTATTATCTTGCTTTAGCCAGTAGTACGACCGACTTGGATAATGTGGGTGCATAAACTTTACCATAAAATCATCATTCTCTTGATCAATTTCAGAAACTATACCAAGCCAGTAAAAATCCTTGTATTTACAAAAGAGGTATTGTGCATCAATCAATGTAAGAGCATAATCATCATCATCTTCTACCCTTTTCATTTTTATAATTGAATGAGAGGAAGTTATAAATTGATGAAAATTTCTTGTCTCAGGAAGAGTGATTGCTATTAAAAGTCTATCAGTAAGTTTAAATTTCACTAGCTCTATATCTTCAGCAGGGATGTATACAAATTAAATCCCACTGATTGACTTTTGACAGTATTCAAACATTGCTTGAGAAGACAGTATTTGACC